TTTGAGACAGGGTCTCGCTCTGTCACCCGGGCTAGAGTGCCGTGGCCTCAGCCTGGCTCACAGCAACCTCCAGCTCCTGGGCTCAAGCGATCCTCCTGCCTCAGCCTCCCGAGTAGCTGGGACTACAGGCATGCGCTGCCATGCCTGGCTAATTTTTCCTATATATTTTTAGGTGTCCAGCTAATTTCTTTCTATTTTTAGTAGAGATGGGGGTCTCGCTCTTGCTCAGGCTGGTCTCGAATTCCTGACCTTGAGCGATCCTCTCGCCTCAGCCTGCCAGAGTGCTGGGATTACAGGTATGAGCCACCGCACCCTGCCTCACCTGGCTAATTAAGTGGCTTACTCGAGATTTAGACACAGGGATTTCTGATCTAAAGTCTATGCTTTTGCCACAGATCTACTTTACTTTTGATATAAGAAAGTGATCATTCCAGAAGGACACAAATGGATAGTCCTTAATTGCCAAAGTGAAATAAATGTATTTATTGTCAACTTTTTTGCCAAAATTGTCCTCCTTTGTCTTCTTGGTATGGATGAGAGTACAATTCTCAAGTCATAAAGTTGGAATCTGATTTTGAAACCTCTTATTTTTTTTCCCTGTTTTTAGTTGATGTCAAGTCATGACAATTCTGCCTTTTGAAATGGTGTAAAATTCTTTGCTTTAATATTTGGTTGAGATCCTCATGATTTTTTTACCATCTGAATTATTATAGTTAATTAACCAAATTTCTCTGGTTCTTATGTTTTTCTAATCTTGTGTCTTTAGAGTTATTTTCTAAAAATGATTTTTAACCTTTGTGTATTAGAATCTTTGAAAGTATGATGAAAGTATGGATTATCTATAGAAAAATACCCATCTTATATACCACTTTTGTATATTATCTCAATACAGGAAGGTTCACAGGCCTTTTCAAATCCATCTGTTTTCTGCCCCTCTCCCCCTCCAGTTAAGACCCCTTGTTCTAAAATACAGATTCAATTAGGTAGCCCCCTCCCCACTTAAAAATTTTTGTACTCTCAACTACCTTTAGCAAAGTCCAAGTACCTTATGAACTTGAGAAATGCTTCAGAGTCTCACCCTGGTATTTTTTTCCAACCTTATTTCTTTTTCCAACCTTGCTATGTACTTTTTTACTTAACCATACCAGGTTATGAGGCATTCTTGGGAAAATATATGAACTCACATGCCTTCCTGTCTTTGTTCATTAATGGTCTCCTTCCTGAAATACCTGCCCCTTTACTGCTTGTTCATCCACTAAGGGCCAGGTTGCATTTCATCACTTTCCCTGACACTTTCGCTACAGCTACAAATTAATTTCTCCTTCCTGTGGGTTTCCGTACAACTTTGCACATATTTTTATCATGTATGGTACTTTTACATTGTTTCATGATATTTCTGTCTCTCTACTGAAATGTGAGCTGATTGTGAAAAAAGATGATGTTTTATTTGTCATCATATCACCAATGCCTAGCACATTGCCTGGTACAAAGAAGATGCTCATTAAATGTTTGTTGAATGAGAGGTTATAAGATCTGTTCCCTTCCTTCGTAAGCTATTTCAACAAAATTAAAATACAGCCTTGTCCCCCTTCTCCAAATACCTTTTTGTTATTTGACTTTTTAATGATGTTATATTATCTTTATAGTATTATATGAAGCTCTTTAGTGCGTAACTGAACTGACTATTAAATACCTAAATAATAAATGTTGAATATTTTTTTAGGCAGTCGTCTTTTAACTGGTTCCAACTATTTGCAACTCTGGTCCAATACTAACTTGGAGAAGCCAACTGAAGATGAAAATCCAGATAAAACGGATCTTAACTTCGGGGATTGGAGATGCATTTGGCATTGCAAGTAAGCAATTAATTAGGGGATTAAACTGGTAAACCTGTTTTACATGGTTTTATTACATTATAAATGTATTTTAGGTTGTGTAAAACCACAGTAACATAAACAGTATTGATTTTTAGGCTGTGATGTGCCTTTTCTTGTACACAAGAAAGTAGAATTCACTACTTCTCTGTTCTACAGATCGGTTTTTTAAAAAGTCAAATAAAATAACTAGGAGGAAACATAAGAAATATGTAAGGCTTATATGGAAATCATTAAATAACAAACTTGCTAAATTATACGAAAGGAAAAAGAGACACCTTTCATCCTTTTGAGTGGAAAGCTTCCTATTGTGAAGACATATATTTTTCCCACATTTATCTATATATTGAACATAATCCTTTTCTTTTTTTGAGATAGTGTCTCGCTCTGTTGCCCAGGCTAGGGTTCTGTGGCATCAGCCTAGCTCATAGCAACCTCAAACTCCTGGGCTTAAGCAATCCTCCTGCCTCAGCCTCCTGAGTGGCTGGGACTACAGGTGTGTGCCACAATGCCCAGCTAATTTTTTCTATAGTAGAGATGGGGTCTCGCTCTTGCTAAGACTGGTCTCAAACTCCTGAGTTCAAACGATCCTCCCGCCTCGGCCTCCCAGAGTGCTAGGATTACAGGCGTGAGACACTGCTCCTGGCCACCAGTCAAATTTAAAAAAGTAAAAATAAACATGTAAAATTATATTATTTAACCTAATATATAGAATATATCATTTCAACATGTAATCAATTTTTTAACTGTTACAGGTAGTTTATAGTCTTTTTTTCATGCTAAGTTTTAAAAATCCAGTGTATATTTTACTGTATGTCTCAATTTGGACAAGCCACATTTCAAGTTCAATAGTGACATGTGGTTAGTGGCTATCATACTGGACAATGTAGCTCTAAAATATAAAACTCACCTATATTTTCTTCTAATGTTTTTGTTTCATTATATAGAAGCTCAAGTTTTTTCTTCCATCTGACATTTGTTTTGGTATGAGTTATAAAACAGACTCTAACTACATTTTCCCTCCACAGAGCTAGCTAGTTTGCCCCACTGTAAAGTGTTATGCTATATAGTGAATCTCCATGCATAACTAAGTCTAATCCTGGACCCTAATCTGTCTGCTCCTACATCAACAACAAAATGCTTTATCAGCTGTAGCTTTAGAATTCATTTTACTATACTATATATCTTTATTCCTCTTGTCTTTTAGAGTTTCCTATATTTATCCTTTCAAGTAAAGTTTAGAACTATGGTCAAAGGTAGAAATTCTAATAGGATTTTGACTGATAGTAAATTTAAAATGACATATTTTGTTAACATTTGTCATTTTTGTTATATTGCTATTGGACGAGAAGTGCTGCCTTAGAGTGAGGGAAAAAGTTTCTAAGAATGACACCAAAACTAGAAACTTAAAGGAAAGGAAAAATTAATAGTTTTGACTGTATCAATAAAACATTTCTATAAAGCAAAAAGACCACAAGGAAGAAACAAAAAGACGAAGAGAAATATGTTCAATTTGGGTTAATGCCTTTTTAAAAGGCAATCTTAAAAATACAATTAGAAAAGAACAGATACCACAATAGTAAACAACAGTGAGCAATGGAGAGAAAATTCTAAAAAGATGTAGAACATATGAATAATAAGCATATTTAAGAGGTGATTGACCTCAGTTGAAATCAAGAAATGTGAAATCTTCACAAAGAAGAGGATGAATGATCTCTATTAATAATATTTAGAGAAACAGGTACTCTTATAAACTGTAAATAAGGGAGTGCAATTGATAGTATCTTACTATAGAGCATTTTGGAAGTATGAATCAACAGGCTTAGTTTTTTTCATATCCTTTTAGATAGCAATTCCAGGTTTCGTTCATTTATTCAACAAATATTTGTGGAGTGCTGATTGTATTCCAGGCAGCTGTAAAAGTGCTTGGAATATTGCAGTGAACAAATAGGGGGAGAAAGAAAATAAACCAGTAAACTAGCATAACATGATGTTAAATGAAATCCTTCCTAACTCAGTCTTACATGAAGCAGTGGTAGCATAGATATCAGATACCAAAGTGAGAGTAAGAAAGACCTATATAAAGAACTTGCAGAGGAGACTTGAAAGGAGCTGATTCCCTGTATTTTCCACCCTCAGCTAGGTCATGGATATAAAAAAGGGTTAACATGTAGAGAAGGAATAGGATTTTGCATAAATAATTTCTTTAGAAAGAGTTGCCGCTTTGCTTTCAAATCTTTGATATAAGGGCTGGAAGGGAGGAGCAGAAAAGTGTTATATTGCCTTTATCACAGTTCCATTGAGAGACTTCCATTGAATGAATTGAACTCTTGAAATATGTTTTATACAGTTGTGAGAGAGGAGGAAAGAAAGTTAAGTTCAGCGTATACAGGCCGGCAGGGTGGGTCACACCTGTAATCTTAGCACTCTGGGAGGCCAAGGTGGGAGGATCACTTGAGCCCAGGAATTTGAGGTCGCTGTGAGCCAGGCTGACGCCACAGCACTCTAACCTGGGCAACAGAGCGAGACTCTGTCTCAAAAAAAAATTCAGGGTAAGTGGTAGTAACTTGGAATTAATATACTAATTATTTATTTGAAGTGAACTAATTATTTATTTGTTATTTAAGTAAGCAGAAAAACCATGAGACTAGAAACTATGCAAGTTTTGATTCAGGATCAACTAAAGATCACACTCATTGAAATACATTTAAAAGTTGAGTTTTGATCACATTCCATTTGTAGTGAATTTAAGACACTGGTTACATATGTTAGATGAAGATAGGAACTATAGAAGAAAAGTAGATAGGGTAAAGGAAAGAAAAGTAGAGGTGACATTTGAGCATTAACCTGAAAGAAATAAAGGATTAGGCCATGAGTTCATGTCTCTGGGAGAAAACATTATAGTCAGAAGGAATATCATGTACAAAGACTCTGAGGTAAGAATGTGCTTAAGGCCAGGCTCGGTGGCTCACTCTTATAATCCTTGCACTTTGAGAGATGGGGTGGGAAGATTACTTAAGGCCTATCTCCACAAAACAAACAAACAAAATTTTTTAAGAATGGAGTGTGCTTAACTTGTGGCTGGAGTGAAGTGAACAAGGTGAGGTGGCACAGGAGGTATGATCAGAATCAGGAATCAGTTTATAGGTCATTGTGTGAGGCTTTTGTCTGTTGTTGGGAATGAGTTGGGAAGCTCATAGGGGTTTTGAGCAGAGGGGGTACTGAATCTCACTTCATTTTAGAAGGACTGCTGTAGCTGCTGTTTTTAGGAAAGGTTATAGGCGGAAACAAGATCACAATCATGGATACCTGGCACTTTTATTGCATGTTCTGCTGAAGTGAGCACAGAGACCAGGCATTTTTAATAATTTGTTTTAAGGATATTCTTAAGATTAACCAGAGGGTACAAAAATGTGAGTGCAGGAATGTTCATTGAACATTTTTTTTGGCACAGCAAAAATTAGAACAGTAATGAACTATTAAATAATTTTAAATCATTGTGTGTATATATACACGATGGAATACCATAAGACAATAAAATAATCATATAGATCTATGTACCTATACATATATACACATATTTTGCATCTATATGCAAAGATGTTCATGATGTCTTTTTATTTTTTTTTAAATTCAGCATATTACGGGGGTACAAATGTTTATGTTATGTATATTGCCCTTACCCCACCTGAGTCAGAGCTTTCAGCATGTCCATCTCCCAGACGGTGCGCACCACACCCATTATGTGTGTATATACCCATCCCCCCTCCCCCCCATCTGCCTGACACCCGATGAATGTTATTACTATATATGCACTTAAGTGTTGATCAGTTAATACCAATCTGATGGTGAGTACATGTGGTGCTTATTTTTCCATTCTTGGGATACTTCACTTAGTAGAATGGGTTCTAGCTCTATCCAGGATAATACAAGAGGTGCTAGATCACCATTGTTTTTTGCGGCCCAGTAGAACTCCATGGTAGACGTATACCACATTTTATTAATCCACTC